GAGCAAGATTCAAGAATCCAATTTGCCTTGAGAGATGCTTCTTTGAAAGAGTAAATTGTGCTGCACTTCTAACGCTGCTGGGGATGGGATTTTGAAATGAAGCAGAAGGGCTGTCACACGAAAAGAAGCTGGTTGTCCGGAGAATGTGTAAGTAAGCAACCAAATAGGAAACTTGCGCTGCACTCGATCGACCCACACTGCTTGGGAATTGGCCGTCCCCATTCAGAGCACGCTGTAATATTCTGAAACCGATCATACGTTCACAAAATATGCAGTCGCCAGTGCGCTTCGGTTAAATTTTGAACGGTTGGGATCGACCTGGGAGGCCCGAATAAGGAGATCAAGCGTTTGATTGCCCCGACCTAAAGACACCTGGCCTGAACAGAAGCACGCCTATGGGTCATCGCGAGCGTTTTACGTTTTACAGGGTTGAAGATCAGCCCCCACCTGACCGACCACGATACCAGATGGTCGAGATCTTTCTGCAACGGCAGGCCATCAGCCGTAACCTGCTTTTGCGAGAAAGTCTTACATCATCGGCATAAAAAAGGCAGCCGTATTTCATGACACACGAAAGGTTATTAATGACCAGTCCAAAAGGGGGAGAGCCAAGAGTGATCCTTCCGGGACGCCGAAGGTCACCAGTTATCAATCGGAAGTTTTCCGTTGATGATAACCCCCAGACGTCTATCGGACAGATGCGTCACAGACCATTGTGGCGCAGATTTCCTTCAATGACATGAATGCTTTAGCTTGTATAATAGGAAGTCATGGTCAACGTTCAGAAAAACAGCCGAATATTTGGCGTAAATGACACCCGTCTGAGATCTGTCCGAAGGCGGGCATAAAACAGTGCGAAGAGATCTGCAAACCGTGGAACATTCTGCACAGTTGAACTTTGCGCTGCAGAGTTTCAGTTTATCGTTACGGGTGTGAATACTGAACTGTTCGTGAGCAAGTCAAAATTCTGCTCACACGCGCGACGCTACGGGCTCGGCAAGCGCCTCCATGTTTCCATTGACCCTTGTACAATTGTTCAAGCCCCGCCATCGACCAGGCGCTCAGGCATCGCCAACAGCTAGTTTTTGCTCCGACCGGAGCCCAGCACGGCCAGCCTGTGAGTGCAATGGCTCCCAAGCCAGACCGGGGTCCGCGCCATCCCCGCCACCGTGGCGGTACGGAGCGATCTTATCGCCGCATTTGGGCCACACGGGCTGGACGCGTGACAAATGACGGCACCCGATAACATCCAGCTGTATCGCGGGGCTGCGGCCGGCCCGCACTGCTCTCGCACGCGGCGTTCTCTCTCCTGCATCCCAACCGACGGACGCAGGATTCCCCAGCAGCCTGATGCCGACTCGAGCCCGCAGGGAAGCCCTGCAGCCGGAGCGCAGCTGGAGCGCGGCGCGCGCGGCAAATCGGCAGCGAACTCGAGAGGCCATCGGCGGTCACCCGACCCGGCGGCGCATCGATCAAACGGCACTGGTCGGCACCATCGGAGTGCGTCGGTCACCGGAGCCGACCGGCGACCCAATATATACGGGGCCCGGCCGGCGAGAGTGGCCTGCGTGGGCGCCGACCGCAAGCTACGCCCTCCACGGGCCGCATTAAAGCGCCGCCGCAGGGTAGGACTTCTCTGCATGCCATCTGACGTGAGTTCTGTCAAGTAGATGGGCATACGTCGAAGAGGGTGGTCGATCTTCAACGCTCAGCGGCCGCAATGTTGAGATATCTTGCCAATGCGGCGGTCGCACTGTTGACCTATGCCTGGAAGTTCAGCGATCGTGCTGTTGACCTGCTCTGGAGGTGTAGCGGTGATGGTATTGACCTTCCCTGGAGGTGTGGCGGCCGCACTGTTGACCGACCCTCGGGGTGCAGCTGTCGCCATGTTGACCCGTATCGGGGATACACAGGTCGCCGTGCTGACCTACCTTGGAGGTGCAGCGGTCGCACTGCGGGCAGTGCCGGTTGTCGACGTGCACCCAGCGGCGGCAGGGCGGGCAGCGGCGGTAGAGAGGTGGAGGCAGCTCGACGCGCTCGGCCGGCAGGCTGGTGAACAGCCGTACCGGCGAGCCGTGCTTCCTGCCGCCAGCGGCTGCTGGGAGACGCGTCCCGGTCACACCCTCAGCGCCCGGCCACGGCTCCCCACTCACACGGCTGCTCTCATCAACTTCCAGCTCACACGGCTGCTCCCGCCAGCTCGCCACTCACACGGCTGCTCTCACCAGCTCACCACTCACACGGCTGCTCTCACCAGCTCCTCACACAGCTGCTCCCGCCAGCTCGCCACTCACACGGCTGCTCTCACCAGCTCGCCACTCACACGGCTGCTGTCACCAGCTCACCACTCACACGGCTGCTCTCACCAGCTCCTCACTCACACGGCTGCTGTCACCAGCTCACCACTCACACGGCTGCTCTCACCAGCTCAACACTCACACGGCTGCTCTCACCAGCTCACCACTCACACGGCTGCTCTCACCAGCTCAACACTCACGCGGCTGCTCTCATCAGCTCCCCACTCACACGGCTGCTCTCACCAGTCCACCACTCACACGGCTGCTCTTACCAGCTCCCCACTCACATGACTGCTCTTAACAGCTCACCATTCACACCAGAGGTACGAGAGCTTCTCAGTGACTATGTTATGGAGCAAAGGTGACGGCGCGCGGAAAGCGCACAGCCAACGGAGTTCTGACACCTGACACACGGCGCGCGTGAGTACGGAAGGCGACACTTTTGAGGCGTTTCCCAAACATATGCTCACGACACGTGCCAGATGTGCAACGGACTGTTATTGACCTAAGATTACCTCGGATCAGCGTCTTGCTACGTTACTCTGCCGTCGCGGGCGCTCGATAGAATGCTGGGAATGCATGTGCGTGTACAGACCTGACGTGTACTTGTGGTGGTTCTCGTATTCGACCCGCATGTCGGTCATGTGTAGAGCGGGTAGGCTGCGTAGCACGTCTGGCTCGTTGAAGTACGGCAGGATCAAAAACACTGCAACAGGTAAGACACGTTGTAATCCCGCGACACACGGCCGCGGCCTCGGAGGGACAGGATGACGACGTCCAACAGACCGGGCCGGGACGAGCTGCGTTGCCTGAGGTTTGCTCACGGTTTCCGGGCCTCGTGGCGTGACGCGCGGGTCAGCAGGCGCGGCTTTAATGCGGCGCACGTCAGCAGCCCACGCTGATCTGATTGTTTGTAGTCACACAGTGGCTCCTAATTCTGTAGCTCGATACATTGTTAACTACTGAGTATTAATACATCTCTTACGCTAGGATCCATCCCGTGGCTAAATCTTCCATTTTCCTGTGCCATGCTTAGTCTCCAGAGTGTACCAAAAGAAAGCTGCAAGGAAAATCGAAATACAAAAGGGACGCGACGAAGACAAACGAAACGGACGCTTGAGCCCAGGAGGCTATGCACCCTAATCCAAGACAAGACAAGACAAGACAAGGCGCTGATCTGATGTCAGAAATATGAGTTCAGAAATCATAGCAATACAGTGAATTGTACTGCCTGCTTTGACTTCTAGCCGTCCGACACACAACTCTAGTCGAGCGCTACCTGAAGAGCCTTTGCACATGAAACACTGCGCTGGTTCCGGCGAAGATCAGCACACTGAGCATGACCAGCATGGTCCGGGCTCGTCCCAAACATTGAGAGCCTGAGGGCATCGAACACAGGACGGCGGGTACCCGGACGCTGGCCATCGCCCAGTAATACAGTCATTACACCGTCGCCACGAAATGATCGCAAGGCTCCTTCAGTCCCAAAATCCGATAAATCCCTGGCTTAACGAAGTTGCCATCGCCAGGCAGCATCAGAGGACGGGCTGTAGCCCGCGCCAGACGCAGCTGTTTGAACTTGGACCGCATAAGACCGCTGACGTCCATCCTCCGGTTCGGAACATGTTCTAACTGCCGCCCGGACATGACAATCCCACGATTTGTGGAGAAGTTTCTAAACAGGGCTTTGCGCACAGTGCGGTGCATATGGCAGCACGTCACTTACGGCCGGCCATCGATATGCCGACGAGATTACATGGCGCTCCACGGATGCGGGAAGCCGCATGCGACGCTGGCGCTCAAAATCAAGGAATAATGTAAAATACGAGGGAACGACAAACAGCCGACAATTTTAAAAGCTGGTCACATCCAGCGCGCAGAATTATCGTGCGGAAAATTCAAGGAATAATATAAAGTACGAGTGAACGACAAACAGCGGATAATTATCGTACGGATATAACAAGGATTTAAGCCCCTGGCAGCTTACAGAAAATTGATGATGACCAAAGCACCGGCCCCAGAGAAACCCAGGGCTTTGCTCGGCGTTAGCGGCACCCCTACCCAGCATCTATGTGCCTGGTTTCTAAGATGTCTTCCCAGGAACCCGTTCCTGGTTTCGGAACCAGGAAGAAGCCAGACACCGGCTTGGAATCAAGCCGAAAATTCAGTTAGAGCCAGGATCCAGAATTGCATTGTGCTGATGGATCCAACGAGAACTAGGATGCGGCTTGACAGTAACCCAAATCACCCAGTGGAATCCCAAATTCGACATGGAATGTGCACATGGATCTTACAAGAACCAAAACCCAGTTTAGAATGCGAAACGGGCAGCGAAACAATTCTTCTTGGCTAAAGACGCAACAGGAGAGCAGCAGCAGCAACTGCGTCCAATCCAGCACAAGCAGTGCTGTCTCTAACAGGTACAATCACCCGATCACCTCCTCATCCAGCAGATGGACAGGATGTCCCCCTCATCTGGCAGATTGACAGTGTCCTCGCCGGGTAAATGAGCATGGTGTCATCACCTAGCAGATGGACAGAGCATCCTCACCTAGCAGATGGACAGGGTGTCCTCCCCACCTGGCAACTAGGCAAGATGGCCTCCCCACCTGGTAGCTGGACAGGGTGTCCTGCTCACCTGGCAGCAGGGTTGAGGTCGCCGGCCGACCCTCGGCCGCGTCTCGGGTTACTGTGATGGACTGCAGTGTGAGAGCCAGCGCCTCCAGCCGCCCTCCGAACGGCGGGTCGATCACCACAACCAGACCTGGAACGGCGCAAGATCAGATTTACTATGATACCAAGTCACACATTAGTTCGTAGAGAAGCAGTCACCACACACGTGCAAGCCTGTTTGGCCAAAAACGCAGCAAAAAGACAACAAAAACAAAACAAAACGAAAACAATGGGAGGTAGTTAAACCTGTGTCAGTGGATTTAACCGCCTTTTGAACCGCTTTTAACAAGACTGGACTAGCTCTTGCGCTGAGCTGGATTTTTATGCCAAAACTGGAAAGAAGATAAGAAAACCCATGCGCAAGGTCCTGCAATTCTCGGAATGGCGTACTAGTGTGAGTAGAATGACGTAACGACGGACTAGTGACTGGAAGAAATTGCATTAATATGACAGCAATTTGCTCCCAGTTGTACCCGTAACAACCGGTTCTGATACATGAGTCATGGGGGACTGAACTGAATGCACGTGACATAATATATTATTGGCGGACTTTATAGAAGCAAAAGAAAGCGCGTGGCACCGCCATCATATTTCAAATAATTAAAAACAACCTGAAGTATGTGCCGAATGTTGTAATTACCCCTCTGTGATACCCTGTCTATCTATGCAACATGACCATGTTAAGTTTTTCCAAGGTCTTCATGGGGTACCTCAATACCATTACAGAAAGGGGCACATGGTTGGTCAGAACCGCCCGATACTGATATTGTGACTTTTCTTACTGGTAAACATTCAGGTGTGTACCTCCCCATGCCTAACATGGATACAATACATACTAAGAAGTAATAAACACCTGATCAGAAATGTCCGATGCTAATATTGTGGCCGCCTCTGCTTGGTAGATTGATAGCTTTGTTCTTGTCTCATACATGAGAGCGCCATTGGCTATCTACAGGTAGATCGGATGTCCACTCACGCTCTCTGCAGGCATTACGCCTAGAGCTTTTCCGTTTCATATTTATCAAAAGTCCCTATCCATTGGGAACGGTTGAATGGATTGCACCGAGCAGTTGAGGGGCGCTTCGGGTAAGATCATACGAATACGGCCAACGCGGACGTCGCCGACGACTCACAAACATGTCCATGAGCAATATTGTTTATACATAAGGGCTATAGTCATCGTTTCATTTCATTTCATCATACCAAGTACACATTTGTGAGTTGAAACCAGTCAAAGCCACTTTACAACGAAGTGGTTTTAACCGATTAACGCCAGCCATCCGGTTTAACCATGGTTTCAACGAGTCCTAACCAGCCGGTGATTTTTAACTAAGGGCCCTTGAATGCAAGTGGAGCGCTTCTCACTCCTGCATTTAAATCATCTGCTGGTCTGTGGGGATAGACTACGATCAAGATGAGAAGACAACGGCCACCTCTGCATGATCGCGTAATTCCACGGATAAACGTTATACGGATATCAAACGCCCGTCCATTTTGGTACAGCCCGTAGAGCACTGACCGCTGTTGAGTACATTTTCCGAAGCACCAGGAGACCAGGCCTGGTGCTTGAGAGGAACTTTATCTCCGTAAACACGCACACCTGTGCGTAGCTGTTGTCTCTCTGTCCTCTATATTAACGCATTTCTCTTCGGTGGAGCGTAAGACGGCTGGAGTCCGTTACGCGCCCGCGCACTTTCCGAGCCCGACCGCGGACTGTCGCTGAGTGGCACCCGTCTGCCTCGCCGCTCCGCACTTCCCCCATCTGAGGGCGGCAAACAGCGAGACTCTGACCAGCATACCAATGACGTAACCAAGCCATGCTACACACGTCCACAGTATGGCAACAGCGTGCGGAATACTCACAACCATGATGGCGAAATGAGGAGCATGAAACAAGCGATCATGCATTTTTAGGCGAGTTACATATCTGAAGCCTAGCACGGACAGCCTTCAGGTCGCTTGCTGGTATTCCTTTGCGCTTCCTGAAAGCATGAAATGAACCGTGCCGCACTCATCACCGAGCGTCTCTACCGCAGGGATCACGTCAAAGGAAAAATGGAGCTTCAAACTGCCTCCTTGTGAGTGTAACGCTTGGGCTATTCACGCTGTCTACCGTGTCGAATGGAAACAGAGCCCTGCTTCGGGCTTTCCGTGGTTGGGACAGCCACTGACATTCGGACGCTCATGTTATTTGCGTTCGTATGGCGTGCATCAGTAACATAAAAGTGACATCAGCGGCGACGAGTGCCAGCTTGCCGTTCACTTTAATCTGCGCCACGCTTGGCTGACGTTTGCATGCCTGTCCAGTGAGCCATTTTACAGAGAACTCATATACCTTCCCAAAATCTGCAGGAAGTCTTCTTCAATTCGAATGGCTTTCTAGGCCCTGTTCTTCAAAGCCACACGCCGTGTGCTGAGCTAATAACATGTAGCGTCACAGGTAAATGTGCATCATACGCGGCTATGAGGAACGCTCCAAAGTCTGAATACGGACAAGAGGCAAAATCAGCTGATTCAGCCCGCCACAGACGTATAGAGCGTAGCCATGGCCACGTGGAAATCATCCGGTGCATAGTCGTTGGCAAGTTATGTGGTTAACAAATAATCGTCGATCACAACACGCACACTGCGGTCGGCACCTGTCCATTTGCCCCAAACACAAGATCGTCATTGCACGTCGGCCGATGCCAGGCATTGCTGCGCAAAAACACGAATGACCCCGCTTACTTCGCAGACCAAGTGAGAATGCGCTTCGGCAGCGGCGTTACCAGCAGTCGTCTATCCTCGTCATAGTTATGTCATGCCATTGGGGCTTTGCGACGCACTCAGCTGCTGAGGCTATATGGCGTCGCCTACCTTTCACCCTGGCAGGAAGGGCGGGCACTATGGGGAATCGAACCCTGTGCCTCTGGTTTCCCAGGCGTGCAGTGGTTAACGTAGACGCGTTAACCACTACACTACAGGCACCCCAGTTGAATGGGCTTAATCGACGTAAGGAATAGACTTTCATTTGCCCTGGTCCAGTCCCTGGGTCCTCGGTCAGGAGAGCTAAATCAAAGGCCGTGACAATGAGCAGCTAGTCATCGACCACCACAAGTCGGCGCTCTCGTACTAGAGATGCAACCTTTTCCAAAATGTTAGCCCGCGGTCCGGCCCGCTCCAGCCAGCTGGCGAACCAGCCGACAGAGCCCTTTGTGCTACACTGCTGACCGGGCATTTAGTCTCAAGTCCTTAGTTAATCACAGTCTGCATTTTGTCAGGTGTCCTTCATTTTGGACCTATCCATAAAGTGTGCATAAAATGTCATGCCAGGGTCACGTAATGAATGACATTGCATGGCTAACACTAGTGATATTTCTTTAACAACAGTGATCAAAGCACCTGGACTAAACAAATTCTGTTGTGCAAAAGATCTTGAGCACCGTGACGGCACGTTTCAACTACGAGTGAGAAGGAAGAGAGCGACATTTAAACCGAACTATCACCAAAGTGTACCGGATATTTCACCTTTGTACCCATCTCAGTGAAACCCAGGCCATGTCTTCTGGAACTGCATGCATCAATGGATAGCTTTGCACTGACAGAGCCAACAATACTGAATACTCCAAGTCATGGGAAGTTTTCTCATTTCATCACGTTGCGCAGGGCTAGAAACATCAGTCAAATTCACCGCAATTGCCGCAATGTGGTCACTTGCATTCTAGAACCAAACACAGGCTCTTACATGGTGTTTGCTTAAGTGAATAATTGATGCAACACGGAATAAATATTCATATTTACGATGGATTTTCTGTCCCGGAGGTTCATACCCCGAGTTTGCAGCGCACTGCGATTTTTGTGGTTTTACAGCTTACGTTTTAGCAAAAAAGAAGAAAAAACGCGTTATTTAATTGCTTAATTTTCAATCTACAAAAGCCCGAGAAGTATGGTCCACAACCCGGCCAAACCCCCGCGGGTTCTCGCGGGTTGCCAGATCGCTAAGCTGCGTCTCTACCTGGCACGCCCGCCTGACTCCCCGACGTCGATCAGACGGGGCGCTTTGTAAACGTGCGCCAACGCCGGCATACAACTGTAACAGGCAGCTTCCCTCGCGACGGACTGACGGCGTTGCTCGGACGAGACGGAGGGCTTCAGTCTGCACACAGACTATCAGCACGCATTGCTCTGTATGCTCTACGAACACACAAAACGTACGAGACGGGAAACTCGCTATCAAGATGACGGTACACTGTGGCCTTGCTGCGCTCACGTACCCTGAGATGCACGAGATCAGACGACCCCATGTAGCGACTTTGCTGCGCAGGCGTGGTAGGTGAGCGACGCGCGGCACGGCAAAGCCGACCGCATATCATCGCCAACACCCAGCGCAATTGCATTCCGCTGAAGATCGATCAATCAGCCACGCCCGTCCACGCAGGTATCGTGCACGACCGCTGGCGCTCCCGCGGTACGACATCCCACTCCGGCACCGATGCGTGGGAGCCCGTCCTCCGCTGTAAGCCGTCTGACCCTGGGGAAGCCCGCCGGCGCTCCTGCTGACACCGCGCCGTCGGGCATCTCAGTCGCGTCTCAGTCTCAGTCTCGAGGCGTCTCAGTCGCTCTCATTAGGCGCGTACGAAGACCGCAGCGTCCGGCGACACGATACACCGTTCAGCCGATGGGAAAAGTGGTAGCCGGAGCGGACGCCGGTCTGACCACGTCATGTGCAGCCCGCCGCCAGTAACAGTGCCATGGCGGCGAGTGCAGACACACGCATCCTCGCATGGTGATGTCACATCGCGCTCAGCAGGGAGAAAGACCCATGCTTTCATCGCCATGTACGGCTTGGGAGGCGAGGGGTCCTTGTAAACCCGAGACATGGCATCCAATCGCAAAAATCCAATACTTGCACTTCATCAGAACAACGCAGCTGTGCTGTGTAGGACAAGTCGCCGGTTTATAAAAATGTGCGCAGTCAGCTGCAGCCGGCAGTGTCAACTCACGTTGGCTGCAGTTAGATCATTCCATTTCCCAGGCTACATCCGGTGACAGTGGGAGACCGCGACCCAAGAAAGGCTACCCCGGCCCTGCAGCCGGCGCAACTCAAGGATGCATCTTCAATTCCCATGCTCTAATATTGCAGCATCGAGTGAACATGTCTTGTTCGGACCACGTGCGCGCGTAGTACAATAGCAGGCTTTGCATCTCCAAACTTATTTTAAAGACCAGTCTCAAATATTCTCTCGACGGCGCGCAACAAACATACGCCCGACATCGTTTCTTCTGGTTTGGCCACAGGTGCAGACCATTTCCATCGCTCCGTAAAATCTCGGACACTGCAGGGTCGCTTCACCACAGCACCCCACAGAACACGCAAGCGCATATATCCTATCCATTTCTGTATGTTGTCCGTCGGTGAGATGTCTTGTCACCATGTTTTAAGCCCACCGTCTCCGAGGTTGCACGAGCTGAGGCCACCGCTCCTCGCTCTCTCCAGTGAACAGCCGGCTATCGTTACGTCAAGTTTGGGAGCGGCGCCGTCACTTGTTTTGGTAATATTCTTTTTTGGTTTGTTAACAATTTGTTTTGATCAAAAACGGAACAAGTTAACGGCTCTTTTGTTATATTTCGATGATCATGACATAGGATTCGCATTATGCTCTACTATCTCGCATAATAGTTCGTAAACTAAGAATAGCAGCCACGCTGCCATGACAGAAACAGTAGCCGTCCATGCGTATTTTGTTCATTTTACTACTCTGAGGATACAAGGTGGATGCACCAAATAACCATCTCTTACCTACATACCTCTTTTAATCAGGATATCACCAATGTTCGTATCAGGTCAATGACCTGATTTTACCTTCAGAGGACCAAGGTGGCGAAAAACCTTTGAAATTATTCTGACTCCTGAATCTTAAAATCAGCGTCAAGTAATACGCTAGCGGCACGTTCCTCCAGGCAAAAGGTTGATCGGAATCGCTTTAAGTTACTGACCTCCCCTGACCTTCATGTAGTCAAAATAGGATGCCTGTTGACGTCCCTTTCTTCAAGGAATAAGCATCAAAAACTACTCCATACAGCAATTTTTCATTTATAAAACGATTGCTTTTGCTTTGCTCTGTCCTTCACGTCTGACCCAAGGCCGATGGAATGAAACCAAATAACACAGTAGTTCTTCTTTCCTTATTGATTTATTATATATTTGTTTCCTTATTGTTTATTTATTCCTCTTGCCTTATTCCTCGGAGAAAAACCGGGAGAATGGAGATGTAGATGCGTTGATATTTCGGCAACAGTCATTATGGAAACATATAGCAGAAGTGAATATTGCACAAAATTCACTTCTTTTCGTTTCGATAAAAGTGTGTTGCCGAAATATCAATGCACGCGCATCTCCATTCTCCTGGGTTTTCTCAGCGGAATAAGGCCACTACTACTGCCTTATCTATGCAAATAATGCTCTTCGCAAATGCACTCACAATTTACGAAATTAGACCACATCTTGAAGTTGATTACTCAATGAACTAAACAACCATCTCACAGCTGTCTGACTTCGTCCAACGCTTCGTTACCGCATCAGCGTGAGCGATTTCCGAGGAACTGCTGTCGCTAGCAGCCACGGTCTGACACTGACTTGCCATAGGTCAGCAACCTTCTCAGGTATATCTTATTTGTCTCTATCGGCTGTTCAACTGTCTACAGCTACGCAAAGTTTGGCGCGGCTACGTCGCACCGTTCGGAATTTATTTTGGAAAACCATCACGAGGATGTCAAATTGACCCTTCATCCGGCTGCGTGTTATTGACGGTTTGGTTATTACCAGGATTTAATTACCATCTTTGTCAGTCAGAGGCAGAGGATCGTCAAGGAAGCTGAACCGGATCTGAACATCGTGCTCCTTGTCGACTAGGCTGAAGAGTTCTTTTAACGTTCAAGCGTCCTTTGTGCACCGGAGTAAGCCACGTAAGAGATGAGAACATCGTGATCCCTCGCTTCGGCCCAGCGACCAATGAGATCTGATGCGATCAGCAAACAGAGGTTCCTTATCATCAAGCCAAAGAGCCGACATCTAAGAGGAGCAGAAGTGGTGCGTAAGACTGTCGTAGAAGTAATACGACGTAAGTGCATTACTGGCAGCCCAGGGAGCACAACTGCCGACCACGAGCACGGGCGCGGAGGGGGGGGGGGGGGGGGGGGAATGCCCGCCAGCTGCCACTGGCCGGACTGTCGCATGAAGGGATCTCGGCCACATGGGACGGTCTCTTGCGCCGATCAGGTGCCCCTGAGACAATGATGGCCTCTTTGGCAGTCATAGACCACAGGTACCGAATTGTTCACTCCGTGTCGGTCTCGACCCTGGGAGCCATTTTCCAAGCAGGGACAAGGTCGCAGCCCGCGGATGTTATTGACGGCCTCTTACATTAGTTGGGTTGGGACCCTGAAACTATAATGGGCCCCTGTTTCGGTCAAAGCCTTCGGTGCCAAGCACAAAATCCTGTGTCGGCGAGGGGCCCCGACTTGGCCAGGTGGCACATTTGCTGAACAGAATTAGCGTCAGGGACAGGACCCGGAATGTCAGACCGCCTCTTGCGCCAGTCGGGATGCTCTGAAAATAAAAAGGGCCGAATAGCTTACAATAAAAGGAACTGCGATGTCACAATGGAACTGATAATGGAGAGGCCTGTGTCATTGATGGGCCCTGGTACCGACCGCCGCCCCGCGCCGTTTCAGCCAGGGAACCGATAAGCTGAACTGGGTTCTCTGTCAATTACAGAATCCCTGGGTACGTAAGGGATGCTTCTTTGTCAATAAGGGCTCCTGCATTGATCCGGGGTCAGCCACCCGGTCAGAGGGCTTCCCGCGTCGGGGAGGGGACCGGAGTATGAAAAGGCCATCCGAAAGACTTCAGATCGACCAGGGGCCCGGCCCACGCGTCAAAATAATGGCAGCCAGTACGTACGCCGAGATGGGACGAAAGGGCCTTTTAGGACCATTTTTCCGGTCAGTTTTAAACCTAATATGTTTTGGTATCAGCTCTGCCGCCCAGCCCAACATTGATAGGATCTTGGGCCTTGTTTCTATAGCCTTTGCCGTGGGTGCGAGCGAATAATTTGCAAACAATGCTTCCAAAAGCTTTTTTAAAAGTTAATTCGCACCGTTCAAATGTAAAACTGGGACGGACTTTTGACGTGTGCAGTTTGAGGCTCTGAACGCATCAGCAGTCTCAGTAAAACGAACAGAGATCACGGCAGCATGAGTTCAGAGCTGTTATGTTGGAGATAATGGTTAAACGTCATAAAGCAAACATTGGCATCACCCACGACAACCATTTGTCAAGGTAAAAAACCAATGTTGTGCGCATCAGTACGTCCAATCAGGCCGTAACGGAAGTAATTTCGGCGCTCAATCAGCCGGCCCGTTGGGCGTTGACGCTCCACTTCACTGGCAGTGACAGGCGCCCGGCGCACCAGCCTACCTTCGCCCCCGTCGCGCTGCACAAATTCCCGGTAAACGTCCCAGCCGTGTGTGCAGAACATGTGGTGATTGAACATGTTGTAAACGCACAGCTTCTCTGGGGGCCAGAACTCCTCCTGCCAACATGCAAATGAGATCATAAAGCACAGCTAGCCGATCACAGGAGATGTATTCGGTATGAACAGGCACGGGAAACAGCATCATTGTGACATAGTGCAAACACGGACAGCCATTACACAGCCTTGGAATAAATGTCATCGGATTCGTACCGCATTTGCATCCTTGGAGGTCGCTACTACACCACAGTGTTGCATTCCTGAGAGCCAGGATCAATGAGGCTGGCAGAAGCAACAACGCTTGTTAAACTGATTATTGCGCCGTTAAAATACACTACAACTTTTCACATGCTGCACATAGCCAAAAGATGGGCATCATCGGGTAACGAATCCGATTTCTTGGGCGGCAATACCGTATTTAATGCACAAAGAACGGTTCCGCATGGCTGTGGCTTTAAGCGCATGTTTTTAATGCAACACACCACCGACTATCCACCGTACACACTCGCATACACCTGACCTACGATGCTACATCTGCCAAGGTTGCTTGGTTCACGCTATTCAACGTGACTATGGATGTGTGCAAGGCCACAGAGCCGGGCTGCCGACGGGCGCCGGCGCCACACCGCCACAGGGACCCCCCGCGCGTGACTGGCGAACGCGGCGCACCGCCGACACCCGGCGTCTCCAGACGCGGTCGCGTCGCGCTGCGCCGGCGGGGCCGACTCCGTCCCTGCCGCCTCCGCTCGACTCACGTATCGTCGATCGCAGTCAAGCATGAGACTCTGCGGGCCGCCCGGCTGCTGCTGCAGCCGCTCGTGGAGGCGGGGCGCGCCGCAGCACAGCACGCGCCGCGCACCGGCCGCGTTCAACAGCGTCAGAAGCGCCGCCAGCGTGGCCTCCGAGAACAGGTACTGCGCCTCCGAGCTGTTGGCCGACCGGGGGCGCAGCAGCTGCGCGGGCGCGGGACACGGCCGGTTACACGCCAGCACTGCGCCACGACTGTCACCGCAGCAACTGTCGCAGCACGCGCAGCAACACACGCGTCATAACGCTCGGCCTTACAGGACGAGGAGCTGTGTGACGGACGTCACTACCGCTAATTTATGAGCTACCAGGTTGGAGGACGAGACGACGAGAACCGCATCACGCATGGGGTCTGGTTGATGCTCGCCTGCGTCGCGTGGGCGAGCGCTTCGTAATGTGCTTAATTTGCCCTCGTCCAGCATCTAGATGCGGGCGTGATGCGCACAGCAAGCCCAACAAACAACGAGCAAACGGCAGGATCGATGCGGAGTAGCACTGCTGCACGACAGGAGTACCACGATGCACGTCCTTAAATGACGGCGCAACCCATACTTGTAGGCCAGGTCATGTGACCCGCATACCGGCGTGGCACATGGTAATGATTACGGCTCTGGGCCGTAGTGCCCAAAGGTCGGAAACTGCACACGTGCGGGATCGACCTCGTCACACTGTTTGCACCTCCCTTGTCTGGCAGCGCTGGTTGCAGCTGAGTATCCGAACGGACGCGACCCGCCGCTGGCGCGATGCGCCGGACAGCTTACCGAGGGCGCCGGTCTTTCATCCACGGCCAGAGCGGCCTGAGGCGGCCATATGAGCCGCTGTATCAGTGGATAACCAGGTCCCCCCTCCACCCCATCATCCCCTTGCGTGCGGCGCAGGCAGTGGGGGCAGCGTACCTCTGAGGGTCGCACGAGGGTCGGATCTACTGGCCGCGTCTCGTGAGCGCTGTGCAGGGAGGCCTCCGAGCCGGCCAGCACCTGACTGCAGTCCACACAGTACCGGCCGCCCAACCGCAGGATCTCCTCCGCCCTGGAAGCACACGGACAAGACATGGCGGGCGGAACAACGGCAGCGCCAACACAAACGGAACATCTGCCAAAAATCATATGTGGAGCAGCGACAGCACGATTGTGTTTAAATGTCTACCCCTTTTACCTCGCAAGGAGCAAGACAACGCAAACCAAGCCAGCTGTTTCTCGGGAAGCCCGCTAAACGTCTACCCAATTTAACCCGCCAGATGCACGACTACGTAAACCATGCCTGTCATTTCTCGGGAAGCCCGCTCCATATTTCGTAACAATACATTCTCCCAACAGTCAGCCAACGAAGGCCGTGGTACCTGTAAGCCAACACCTCACGTATCACCGTAACTCCCCACACCGGCATATCGAGCCAACCCTGCACACCCGACCATATCCTCAGCGCACGCCCACCGGAGCTCTTCACATCCGCACGTGTCACGTTTGTCGCGGGGCACACCGCCGCGGCCATCCGGCGTGGGAGGCGCCGACGGGAGCGCACCTGAGGAAGCGGGCGCGGTGGTCGGCCACCGGCGCCGCCGCCGTCGCCCGGGCCACGCGCTCGCGCCACTGGCGCGCCTTCTCTGGCGCCAGTCGCTCGTCCCGCCAGAGGAAGAAGGCGCACGCCTTGCGGTCGCGGCAGGCGGCGCAGGCGTAGAACTGGCGGCCCGCCTTGCGCCCGCCGTCCGCCCTCTCGAACAGCAGCATGGGTCCTGGCGCCACACACGGTATGGTAAACCAGAGGAGGGAGAGCAAACAACAGCATCGGGCCCGACAACGTGACCAGGCGGTGGGCCAGAGGCGGGGGAGTGGACAGCAGCATCGACATGTGCTTCACACATGGCATCAGACATGTTCTGGTGAGCCAGAGGTGTAGGAACAATGGCAAAGGTGGCACCTAAACCACGAGAGCGATAATCTCGCGCAAAAACGCCGTTGATAATCATCATGTCTCGCCACTTATATCACTATTGATAGGCTCAGGCAAGCCTGCAGCAAACCCATTGCCAAATGTATGTAAAGATATCATCAAATTAAGGTCAAGTTAACAACAGATTGATTGCATAAGATCACAGTTATGGCCTTAGTAACAAAACAATGTACCAATAGCTTATATATCAATCAAATATACAAATATATGAATGATTATTATTCAAAAATGCTATGCAAAGTGATAGATGATGATGATGAACAAAAACAACAGAGTAACAAATGTACATACCATGGGGACATGCTGGAATCTCACCACCAAAACTGCTACATGGCTCCAAACCAATAAACTTCACTCCCATTTTATTCAGTTTGTGATGAACTTGCACACTCTTTCCTGCATAATATGTCTATGAATAAAAGGTCTGATTTAACTTCATTCGAATGAGCCTGAAACAGAGTAGAAAAAGTTGCATGACTTAACTTCATTTGAACAAACATGGAACATGAAAGAAAAGGTTGTGTATCATAATAACAAAATTCATGCAAATGGGAATGCAGGTTTGTCAGTGTAGCCATCCAACAGCTGAGTTTGTAGAGGTAAAATACCTAAAAATATATTGGGAGAACACCCCAGAGTTTCCAAGCATTACTCAAATCCTTTGATGTCCTGGCAACTTGCTCTTTTATCTTGCTTAACAGCTAGAAAACATCCTGGTACCAGTTAATTATTTCCGAGGGCCCAGCTGGATGCCTTCATAAATGTCAACAGGCAAAACCCAATCCATCCCATTCTTACCATAACACACCATTTATCATAGCAGAATGCAATGGAGAGCTTACAAAAAACAACCCCATTTCCTGTTGTACAAAGATTCTGTTCTTCCTTACTGACACATATGTACAAATATTTTGGTAAGGAAGACCAAAAGAGTTCCATCATCAAATAATAACATTTTAAGGTTTTATCAAATGATAGCAAAGGGATTTGCCATCAATCATGGTTTCTGTGACCATATTTCCTTTGGTAAGAGCTGCTGCTTCAGTGCACATTTTAACCAAAAGCAAGATAATCTGCAGTCAGTTATAAACTGAAGCATGCTATATGACTGGCATATCTAAGCTAAGGAAAATTATTGTTTTCTGAAAATTTGGCACATATTTCCAAAGTTTTAACTTAAATAAAAGGTCAAGCCTGCAAAAACATGTTTTTCCAGAAAATACTCATTTAACACAAAGTGAAAGTTGAGCATCTGATAAGTTTGAATATTTAATGTTAAGCACCAGCTTATTTAGCACTGATTGTCAGCTGCATGTGAGATAGAAGTTTAAATGTTAAATGTTAAGTGCCAATGGTCATGGATACTACACTCACTCAGAGCCATCACATCACATTTCAGTTTATTTTATGCACTGGCCTTTAATTCTACACCAACAGTTTCATGGCTTCAAAAATAATGACCCCATTTATTCTGTGTGCTAATTGATATTGGCTATAACTCATGCAGGCACACACAAAAAAGACGTTAGAAACCTACGAATTCACAAGTATACGAACAACAAATCGGTGCACAGAAGTGACCAGTTACGAAAGCTCATCACTCAATGACAATCAGGTTTCTTGTGTCTCGTGGACACATACATGCTGTATAACGATACCTTCCATTCCAGAGTGAATCCCAAACATGCAAAAGCGTGACCTCACTCCGGAGTCATGGACCCCCAACCAAGGCAAACATGGGCAAGCACACGTGACTCCACGCGCGGCTGCACCGTCGTATTGCCAGCCGTGATATAGATTTGGGCCTTAGCCGTGAAACGCAGCACCAATCAATGGTCTTCACTGCGTCATAATGATAACCAAAAAGTTACAATGTCAACACACACTATTTCGCGGTCGTCTCTGTAATCTTCTCTTATCTCAAAAGTCGTCCGTTGAATTTTGTAAAAATGCCAAATGTTCCAAATGCAACATGAAATTGTATGGCCCAATATCAACTATTTCTTAGTCACCAGTAGTGAATCAGTTATAAATACAGTCAGTTAACAATCAGCAACTGCCTGCCAATGCCTCCAAACTAATAGGCAAATGATGAGTGACCAGTGTGCCCCGATCTCGATCTCAGGAATTTTGCCAGTTAAGAGATGCCTGCTTATCAAAACGATGTGATTAACAACATACCCAACCGCCAACTGTGGTAAGTTCGTTGACATTATCAATTCTATTTCAATTATTTATATTTTGCTTTACGATGCCTTCTATAAATCATATAACTTTTTTTTGACAACATCCCCACCTTAAGCTGACTCTCCCGTTATTAAGTTCTATTGACGGCAAAATGTGATATATATATATATATATATATATATCACATTTTGCCGTTATTAGAACTTAATAACGGGAGAGTCAGCTAAAGGGTGGGGATGTTGTCAAAAAGTTGTACTTACCTTATGTCAGACCACACCTAGAGAATTGTGCACAGCCTTGGTCACCATGCATCCAAAAAATATAGATAGGCTGGCGAGAGTACAGCGAAAAGCAACGAGCTAAAAATGAGATTGGAAACTCAGAATAAAACAATAGGCTTCGGGCCTTGGGTCTGTATTCAATAAAATATCGTAGACTTAGAAGGAATATGATAGAGATATTGAAGATTATGAAAGGGATAGACAAGGTAGGCCTACAAGGAGCACTGGAAATCAGGTCGAAATTTAGTTGAAGCCGGTTTCAATTAGCAAAAGGTAGAAGTAGAGCTGCGAAGAGGCAATTAACCATTAGAATGGACTGGCAAAAGAAGTTGTGGAAAGTCCCTCTCTAGCAACATTAAAATCGTTTGGACATGTACTATCGGTCTAAGCATCTCATCTATAGCTAAATTCATGCAGGCCAGGTGGTAAGATTAGTGTTAAGGATGGGTGCGGAACCTGGGGTAAGCCAACCGCGATGGGCCGTTGTGTGTGTTCTTTGGCGTGATATATTTATGTCTTTACGTCCTTATTATGCCACCAAAGTGGCTTCCATCTGAGACGATAACCGTGGGAGCCGAGGACTCACGGTTAACGCATCACAAACATACACCCATGAGAACCTGCATGGAATAGGGAACAGCAGGAGCGTAGTTTCCTATTAACTTGGGGAGGGAGCTCAGCCACCACAATTTGGACTCCACGCCCCCCCCCCACACACGCACACATCCACAACCTCCAACTTTAGGATGAAAGCAGGCCAAGTCCGTGGAGAAGCCTATTTATCGGCATATTTTGTGGGCAGGATTAGTCATTTTCACTTTTCTGCCCCCCCCCCCGGCCCAATTCACTTTGTAAAATTACACCCTGCGTAACAACTTAGATTGGGTGCAAATTCGGGGAAACCACGCGTATGGGACAGGTATGTATGTGGGCAAGATACTCACGATTTGTCGTGTAGATATTTCAAGGCATGCTACGCATTGTTACGGTTTGCGCTTCTTTCAGTGTTAATTGAATTGATTTATGCGCAACTTTGCTATTACGAATGCAAAGGAGCAGCTTCGGAGGTGGGCTTTTCTTAACCTTTTCCATAATTCGGGGCTTAGTTCCTGGAAAACTCAAACAAATGGGCAGCAGGTGGGCACAACTTATTCGGAACGGGCGGCGGATGCGTATGGGCACAGGTCCCTGGATAGCGGGTGGATCGCGAAAATGGAATCTCACCCGCGAAGGGCTCGCCATCGGATGCACTGCAGCCGTCTGCGATCTCAGAAACGACTGCTCCGGTGGTCAAGAGAACTGCACCACCCCACCAGCAGCATCCGATTGTGTCCAGGATTTTGTGTGTAGCGACCTTTAAACCCTTCCCGATAGCTCAGTTGGTAGGTTAGGGCATCCACCTTTTGATTCACTGACACGTGGCGGGATGGGGCCGAGTCGCTTCAGGCGTTCGCTGCCGTTCCCCGAGTGGCACGGCCTGCGCCCGGGGGCGGTAGCTGCTCTGAACGTCAAGTGACGTTGAAGGGCAGGGTGGGCCGTATGCTGGGCATTGCGGCACAGGACCAGCCCTCGCCACAACACTCTACCGTTGACACGGAGCTTCACGATCAAATGGTGACACTAAACGGAGCTTCACGATCAAATGGTGACACTACACGGAGCTTCACGATCAAATGGTGACACTACACGGAGCTTCACGGTCAGATGGTGACACTAGAGCTTACGTAACAAGCCCTGCTTAGTATGGGGCTGATCACAGAAAGTCATCCAATGAAATCGCTCCGACTAACTTTTTAAAAGGAAAATCCACGCCATGCGACTGTCTGGTCCAGACCGGCCTCGTCTCTTGGGAGGAGACGGCGTCGTCAATGCTTGGTCCATTTCTGCCTGGCTGTGACTACGCAAAAACAATTACGTCACTAACGGTATGAAACACAACCTCATCGCTTCTGGAATACAAAAGCAATAAGGTTACCCGAATAATAATTTTCTACACATGAAGTGCAATGAAGCACTGTGGCGTGAAATAGCTTCGTAGTTTGTCAGTGATACTTAGAGAGACCTTCGTGCCTTACTCTCAAATTCGACGCATGACAGTTTCTTTTTTCGGTACTGTCAGTGTTATGTGAAAATGTTTTGCCTCATAGCCGAAACTCGGTATACAGGCCACCACTCCGGCTATGAAATATTGTCCATTAAAGTAAGGTAAACAGAACAGTTATTTCGACATCCACAAATACTCAGCTAGATTGGAAGTGTCTAATATAGCGCAGAAAGCCATCGTTCCCTTTGCTTCCTCAGTAACTCGGGTTTTCCGTTTGAGGTGACTATTTCGTGTCAATAATTTCATCTGACTTATTGCTCACCAGTGGACTGCGTTTTTTATGAGCCTACGTTCTTTTGCTCAATCGGGACACAGATCATCATGACGTAAATGAAGTCTATTTCTACCCGAATGTTGAAGCCGGGCTGATATATTCATTCATATATGCATTGAGAAAGAAACAGGGTCTAAAACTGATCCCCGTGGAGCTCCAATATTAACACCTGTGCAGGAGGGACTCTCGATCTGGGTGTTGATTTGACACAAGACGTCTTGCCTCCTTCATGGAGGTCTGATGACCGACCTTGTTTCCGGTGTTAATTGTTCACCGTATTTCAATCACCCTTATTGTACTCCACGTTCAAATTAATAAATAAGTCGTGCGATATTACCGGCGCTCGAGATCGTGAAGACTGCTCATTTGTTAAAAGAGGGCATGCAAAACTGCATCATTTGTGCAAAATTAAGCCTCACGGGGGCCCAACATGAACTTCGCGAATTGATGGACTTGTTAGCACCCCAAGATTGTATAGGCAGAATTATTTCTGCATTTATGGTTTAAACGACAGGGCAAAATTAGACCACAGCTGACAGAAGTGACTGAAAAGGGCACAACAATGTGTCATTTTATCAAAGATACCGACATACAAACAGCCACTAAGATATCCACTTTTGCCATTGTCCATTCAGGTGTGCGCATTTCACACTTAGACTTGTCTGTCTAAACGGAAGTAGGAATGTTAGAAGTGCACTCGAAGGCAAATTTAGCTTCTTCTAACATAACTATATTGGATTGTTCAGATCACTGAACTAGTAAACCATTCTGAATGCATTCAGATTCTAACTCAATTGTGACATGGTGTTGATGAGCATGCGTAACATTCACATAGACATCGTGCGCTGGAGCGAGCGATCACGTACCCATCACCTCTTAGTCCACCTACAGATCATCCCATATGGTGCTGCTCCACTTACCAGCCCAGTTCGCGGAATACGTCCTCGCTTTGAGAGCGATCATCCGTGCCGATTAACGTGATGCCCTCGCCAGCAAGGCGTGAAGGGCTATTTGAATATTGATGGCAACGGCTGCCTCCACGGGCCGCCCAGCTAGCAGCCAATATTAACCTTATAAATTTTCGACAAAGCTCCGTGTGGGTGGCTTATTTAGGGATGTGGTTGGAAAGATTCGTACCAATGTATCGGTTACTGGTACTGCGCTGTATCTTGTGTGGTACCAGAAGCGGTCGGATTATCAACTTATAAATGCCCAGATTTTGCTCATACCAGGATTTATTGTGTCATAAAATTTCGTCTGAAAATATTGCCCCGGAAATACGATATATCAGCTGGCATTCAAAGCCCGCTGATACCCGAATCCAATACATTAAGAGCTTGGTTGCCAGCAATGTCGTTGCCAGCAAGCCGATATCCAAGCCTCTCTGGTGTTCGCGGCACAGCGCTGCGCTGATTTATGCTTGCAAATATTATGTTTCTTCTTTTAGTCCACAAACCTCACGCCAGAGTGAAGTTGTTAATAGCGTTCATTTTCGCTCTCGGACCGCGCCGCTACGTTAGAGCCATCTGAGCTCGAGGAACGTCCTACCTCGCCTGCGGCGCTTTTGTCAGTCTGGAGAGCACCTTTTTATTTATCCAAGTGCTACGCTGAGATCGCCGCTCGTCGGTCAGAACAAAACATCACTATGGGGAACAGCAACAGGGCATGTGAAGGCAATTTCGGCCATATTCACATGTCGCGAACGGTACAAGAGCGGTGGATTTTGCATGATGATCTCACTGCTAGTGTAACCATTTACTGCTGTAGGGGTGAAAAGTTACTTTTGTGCCACTGACGAAATCTGGCATCGCCTTAATTGCCACTTGGAGCCAAGTGTACCAGAAGCCGTTGTGCCATACCTCTAAATGCCATAAACAAAAACAAAACAAAACAAAACAAAAACAACGCCAATGACGTGCCATGCGACATAACCACCAAACAGATTTGTTTCGGGAGTTCATTTGCACCAAAGTATCACTTGCTCAGCATCAAACACTGAATGATGGTTGATACTAAACTGGTAGCATTATAAAATAAAGGCGCGTATAACATAACCAGCCCAGAGGCGTGTAGTTTCTTTTTCATTGTGGGGGGAGGGTGGAGTGCATTATGCCTCCTAACCAGAGATGCTGCTCACTGTTTTTATTTATGATTTGTGTTCATTAAAGTTCGTTAACATCCATTGCTTAGGGTTCAGCCCTTTACCCAAAGCTCAATTTGAGATACTGCGCCCCTACTCCTGACTGTGAAAAGAAAGTGCGTCAAATCTGGGGAGAAAACTGAAGTGCATCTCGTGGGCACGCTCCGCCATTTCTCTTCTTGTACCCCGCCCCCTTCCTCACCCCCAAATACTTTGCAAAATGGCATGACTGTAGCCCTACGTATACCGATAACATGGTCTACAAGCACCTGAAACACCACTTTTGGTTTTGTGACGTCATCGTTCCATCGTACAACCAGCTAGGAGCGCTGGCGAACTTCCCTTACCTTCACTTCACCTTCACATCTTCTCATAGTATGAATACAACGAACGGCGTCCCACAGCCTTGCACTAGACGCGCACTGAATCCAATGCATTATCGTGAAGCGAGCATTCGAGCCGATCTGTCTCAAAGGGCACGACGCTATAAACTCGGCGTAGCAAACTGGCCACGTTCGTTGCAGGATGCTGTGGCCAGCCACGATTCTTACGATTAATAATAAACGTACTTATTTGGTATTTTACACTGTTTAGCACGTGAAGTGAATCTGCGAAAGCCACTGATCTGAGGGGCGTTAAAAAAGCACTGTGTCTCCACTAATTTGTGACGTCGGCACTGATGCACTATAACTTGTAGGACATCTCTGTCAGCTGGTGAAACTATCCTGATTTAATCTGTTATGTTTGGCAAGATCTTGTGGCCCAATCGGTTCATGCAGCGGAATGTCAACATTTTGGCATGTGCTATACACAAGCCCACGTCGCAAGCGTTAGCGAATACAGATCAAAACTAAGCTTTGAGTTCCATCTAACCGTGATGGTCTCTTGTAATGTGGCCTGGTCTGTTGTAGTTCATTTTTATTTCCGCAATTTTGTCACCAATTGGCTCGTTAGTGTTCGTTTTTGTCACCGATCATATCCGGTAAATCGAAAACTTTTCCACCCCTGCATTCCAGGCTAAACAAGTGCGGTTATCCACCGAAAACTGACTCCGGTTGCCAGTGGATCCATTCCCAAATATGATTATGGCTCTTGGACTGCACCAGTCGGAAACCCAAATCTGCGAGTATATTGCCCATTCCAGGAAATCTCACACAATTGCAGATGAACACGAGTCTGCCACGATACTTTGGCGATATGTTTAAAATATCATAAAAGTCTAAGGATGACCTAATCTATTCCGTCGAGAAAATCTGTCGAGTAAAATGAAACAAAAGGATAGCTTGATAACACCTCAACATGGAGCGTAGATTCTGAAAGATCCTTATGCTTAATGATCCCAGGGATCTTGCATACTAAAGGAGCACTCTGTACCAATTTTAAATGAGCTTGGGATGTCAAATCCCTTAGAAAAGTTTTAAAATGGATCCTAGATCCGGAGTGGCTTTTGAACCCCGGCTAAGATCCATATGCCGAAATCCATTTCTGGAATTCAAGAGCATGTTTGTTCCCAACCTTGCAGCAGAGAGTACCGCAGCTTACTGTCTCTTAGGCCACGCCCCAAGTAAAATGTTGTTTTTCGATGGAATGGAGGGAGGGGGGGGGGGGGGCATTCCGGGTTGTCTGATGACAAGCGGCAGAAAATACTACGGACCACGTCTCGTGCTTCCCGTAGGCAAAGCTTGTCAGGGTGTCCGTCGGTGCGTCCGCGAAGGACGATACTCTCACGGGTCCGATCTGAAATTGGCCAGGGCCCAAAGAGACGGCTAGCGGTTAGGTTTATTTGCATTCGACAGGTAGATCTAAAGTCGTTAATTGCTTATTCTTCTGTAAGTCATATAGGTTTAGCTTTAGCCGGTTTTGGGGAGATGGGGCTTGTGAGGGTATAGTTTCCAGCAGGGCTTCCGCAGGCACTACCCGGTTCAGGTGCCGCCCGCATCGTCGCGAGGTGCGCCGAGTCCGGTCTGGAGCGCCCGCGCACCACGTGGCCCGTCCGCTGGCTGTGCCGCCGCCTCTGTGCCAGCGTCGGCGTCGACAGGTCCAGTCGTCGGCGTCGACAGGTGGCGGCGGCGCGCGCCGGGCGGCCGCTCAGTTGGCATCAGCCGTCCGGGAGCGGCGGAGGGGTCAACACGCGACGGAGGCGTCGTGCAGGTCAGTCCGCTGTCAAGGCCCCGCCACGCTCCACTGGACCCGCAGTCTACCGCCAGCCCCTCCCCCTCCCCCCCCCCACGTCGCTATGTTTCCCCACTCAGAGTCGGGCAAGGATCGCTTGATGACAGGGTCAGCAGAGTTAACACTACAGCCGCCTCGCCACCGGGAAGCGTGTTCGCAGCCGCAGCGGACGGAGTTGGCGTCCAGCCCGAGATGTTAGCAGAGGTTCGGTCTGCCGGCTCCTGATTCGGCGCCCGCTGGCCGTGGCTAACATGCAGGAACTGCGAAACATCTGGGATGGCTCCTCCTCTAAGAAAGTTTATTCATCTGCCGTCGCCAAGGAGTTGGGTTATTGTTAAGGAGTCTTAACATCGGCCATTAATTATTCAAAGGTCCAGGGTTAATTAACTGTTCTTTGTGCATCTGGGCGTTCATTTGAGAGCAAGATGAGACGAATAAATACAACTATCGCAGGTTCATTAACGAAGCTTGTCTAGCTCACTCCACAACACCCAAATGCTATATACTTGCATTGTATTCGTAGCATAATGGCGCGTCGCAAAACTCTAACAGCGATCTCCCCTTATTTCTAACACATTTCTCGCAGGACGCTCCGTCATAATAATTCATGTGCTGGCCCGGGCATACCGAAGTCAGTTAAATTTGCGACGTCGTTACTCAGTTGAAGCGTGAAAGACGGCACGGGCGCTATTTTAAGAACAGAGGTGCCCCGAGATGGAAAGCATTCGCGTCAAGGGTTTGAAGTCTGATTTTGGCCAAGCCATGACACTAAAATCGTGCCGCCAGCTCCTCACTCCGTGATCACACCGGCATTGACGAACGCTGTGACTGTACAGCGGTGAGTTCGCCAAAGCAGACACTTCTCTGATACACCGTTCGCGACTTCATGTTAAGCCGAGATGGTGATTACGGTGTATGCGAGCGGTGAAGGGCGGTCGGTGGGCTGCTCTTGTAGCACCCATGATCACGGACCTGAAATGGGGGGAATGTTGACAGGCTTATCACCCAACCTGACGCATCACAGGTGCCCTATCTGCTCAATGACGCCCGAGCGGCATAAAGGAGGTCATTTTGCAACGTCGATATTATGCATCCGTACGCCCGTTGAGGAGTTCCGAGTGGCTGGCCCGGCGGCTGGCCTCCAGAGGTGGGCGTGAGAGCGGCTGGGGCACCCGAGCTAGGAGTGACGCTCAAACTGGGAGTGACGCTCAAACTGGGAGTGACGCTCAAACTGGGAGTGACACTCGAACTGGGAGCGACGCTCAAACGGGTAGTGACGCTCGAAATAACCGCAAATGATTATATTCAACACTGAATATCGGATGATGAATGTCTCACCATGCCTCACATTGTTCACTGGACGCATTGTTTTTAAGTGTCCTGGACTCGGGCTGTATCTGTGCTGAGGCATGACCTGAAAAGGCACCAGTGGAGAGGTGCAAAATACATGTTGATAATGGTGGTGCCCTGGACACGATTGCGCACTGTCCGTACATGATATGTCATTACATAATATAATGGAAAATATTGATGAAGAAACGCTTTCGCACCGGAGTAACGTATTTGTATGACTTCCCGCCAGCCATTTGTACGCAACGCGTGATGTTGTTCCAGGGTAGGGAGGGGAAGAAAGGGATAGTGGCTGATCCAAAGGCCCCGCTCTTCGTATGGCAGCGCTGTGATGTGGAAAAGGTTTTCGTTTGGACCAGTCCACTTGAAGCAAGCATCTTGATTACTGATGTGCTATACATGGAGGACATGCGTTAAAAGGAGATGCTTGTTGAACGGTGGAAATGTATTTTGATATAGTTATCATGTCGTGCAGCTCATATATGCTACGATGAAAATTTTACTGCCTGGCCGTGTGAAAGTTTGGTTTTTTGTTTTTTTGTTTTTGCTGAGAAGCAGGACGTGCGCATAGACAGCGCAGTTGAGTGCAGGCTTGGAAAGTGATAAGACAGCCAGTCAGGGTCTACTTAACACGTGTCCGGCCAAGAGGGGGGGGGGGGAAGTTCCCGCTCTACGATTTTTCAAGAACGCGTCAAAAGAAAACGCTTGCAGCAATACGAAGTTTTCAGTACATGTTTTGATTCAGTAATAGAACACGATAGCACCACAGTTATTCAGATTTTGCGGGATCAGTTGTCCGAAGTCAGAACAATTTTTCCTATTTTTCATAAATAATGCAAATGTGTAGGTATTTTGTGTGGTTCTGGCGTTTGTGTATGAGGAAGAGCGTAAATAACTGACATCCACTACCATCACATGACCACAGATCAGGTAACATTGACCCAGGTCATGACCTACCTCTGCTGATCATAGGATCTTAGTTATAGCTAAATTCATGCTGGTCGGGTGGTAGGATTAGTTACAAGGATGTGTACGAAATCTGAGTTAAGCCAGCCTTGATGGACCCTTGTGGCTCTTTCTTGGCTAGATGTTTTTGTGTCTTCATATTTGTGCGTGCCTTCTGCAAAACATACGCTCATTAGGTAATTTTGGACGCAGAATTCGACAACTCCAATGCAAAAATGTTGTGATATCATTATAATACATAATAAGGTCACATGTACCAACGTACCTGTTCTCAGTTTGTTACAAATATATTGCCAAGTGTCGAGGGAACTATGTATAATGTAGACAACTATGCGATCTTGAGTACCTGTACATGTACAACACACTATTTCTGACCACAGAAAAGCATGGTGCTGGTCATACAGACACGGCTAACACTTAACTTAGCTTTTAACTTGGATGGTATACAAATTTGACCTAACCCATATGTAATTTTGACCTAACTTATATGAGGTCAGCTTAATATGGTATTTTTGTCTCTGGAATACTTTGTTCTAAGCAAATGCACCTAATAAAATAACCTTACTCGGAAGCACAATGTGAAAAGCATCCTTCTTTTACGCAGTTGGTAGACCAATTTTGAACGGTGCCCTGGTCTGACCTGACCCATGTGGAGGAACAGAAATGGTCGGAATGGACTCTCCGCAGCATTAACGCTTATTTCAGTGCCCTCAATATCTGTCGTCACGCATTAACTTAGGTTTTCACTGCATCCATCAGTTACGATCGCCTTTGACCTTTTGTGACGTTTTGTGACCTCATACTTAGCCAAAGGTCAAACATTGGGTGTGCATTCTTCATGATTTGACGACACATTCACAGCGGTATCTTTGGTTTTCTCGCACGGTGTCGTCTGAAAGATGGAGATCCAGGAGAAAGTCAATTTCCCTCGGCCGGGCGCGATTGTTTCAGGCCCCCGGCCAGGCGCAGGTTAAAATATATCCCGGTCCAGTAATCGTTCGAGAAAGCTTGTCTTTTCTTTTGTGAAAAACCCGCAG